TGGTGTTCCCAGCTGACCTGTTCCCTACTGAGTGATTGATGAAATTTAATTGATTGGTGTAAAATTAGAGGTTAGACACCTAGAAGAAGATGTGGGTGACGTCAGTGCTCATATACATTCTTTTCCTGTCCCTTTTCCTTGATGGCCGGAGACAGTGTTCCAGCAAATGAAGAAGCTGGTCTCTAATTATTAACTGAACCCATGAACGGGAGCTGAGATACCTCAGTGAGAATGCAGCAGTCTGGTGGCCCTTAGAGGACAGAAAATGTTATAAAATATCAGCCATGTGGCTGGGCACGGTGTCACACACCTGTAATCCCAGCAGCTCAGGAGGCTGAGGCAGGAGGATCACAAGTTCAAAGCCAGCCTCAGCAATTGTGAAGTGCTAAGCAACTCAGTGAGACCCTAAATAAAATACAAAATAGGGCTGGGGATGTGGCTCAGTGGTCGAGTGCCCCAAGTTCAATCCCTGTATCCCCCCCAAAAAAAAAATCAGCCATGTGACAATAAACAAGTAAATGATTTGTTTGTTGTGTAGATTTGTTAAAAAATAAATATGCAGCATGTCTGTAATAAGTGCTCTGAGGACAAGTACAGCAGAGCCAGGGGACAGCGGGTAGGGTGGCCTGGTGACAGATAGGCTGGCATGGAAACAGAGACCCTAATAACTGGATGGAAGGGCGTGTGGTTCATGGGAGGAAGAGTGATGCAGACAGGGGAACAGGACAAAGGCTGGACAGAGAATGGGTGTGACACAGTCGAGGGACAGCAAGAGCGGCTGTGTGGCTGGAGCTAAGGGATAGAGGGGACAGGGTAGGAAAAGAGTGGGAGGGGAGTGAGGAGGGCCTTGAGAAAGAAGTTTGGCTTTAGCTGTGAGGGAGGTGGGAAATGGATGGATGAAGGGGGTGGAGCTGGGGAGTGACAGTTTCTGACAGGTCGTGGAAGGGTCCCTCTGGCCTTGGTTGCACAAGAAGCACTAATAGAGGACACAGGATGGAGAAGTCCCCAAAGATACAATGCATGACTTCACCTTCACCGGCCCCCACTCTGCAGTCCTAAAGGGACGGGTGGTCTGGCTTTCCTGATGGCCACATCTGCCTCCCTCTTTTTCTGCTCCACCTCTGCCTACTGTGCTCAGAAGCAGGAAGGGAAAGGCCTAGTCTCCAGAGGGCTCCAGAGAGCCAGATGAAGTGTTGCCCCACAACCAGGCCTGTTACATGTGGGCATGGGTTGTGTGTGTGTGTGTGTGGTGTCATGCATGTGTGTATCTGTTCACCCCTGGAACAAAATTTGAGAGAGGGTGAGTTTTTCTCTGGAACTTCTTTGACCCCTACATGCCCACCAGTCTCCCAGGTCTGCATAGGTGACCCTGGTGTCTCTCTCCTCTGTGCCATGCTCTCACAGGTTAGAGACCTGTGCTCTTTCACCTCTGACCCCTACCCTCACTCCATGCTCACCTGCCCCCAGTCCCCTTTCCCAAGACTGCCTCCTGCTGGCCAGACCGAGAAGTCCATGCATGGCACGGGTTTTGTAAAGAAGGCACCAATGGACCAGCATAGTCCTCTTCCCTCCCACTTTGAGGTGAGGATCCTCTCCCACTCCAGGACCATAACACTAAATCCATGCGTTGTGTCAGATTAGGAATGGTGAAGTCAAGTTTGACAGATACATGATGGCACTGTCATCTCCTGTATCCGCAGCAGGTACTACTTATGAATCACACCACTCTTGCCCCTGAGCCCAGACTTAACCTCAGAATCTTTCCTTTTTTTTTTATGTTTTTATTGGTGCACTACAGTTGTGCATAGCAGCAGGATTCATTCACTTATGCACCTGATACAACAGTATAATTTGGTCAATTTCATTCCCTAATATTTCCCTTTACCCTCCACTGCTCCCTTCCCCTGGCCTCTTTCCTCGACTTTACTGATCTCCCTTCAATTCTCATGAGAGCCCCACCTAACTTTTTTCCTTTTTCCTCTCTAAAGAAAACATATGACCCTTAACTTTCTGAGTCTGGCTTATTTTGCTTAACATAGCACTCTCAAGTGCCGTCCATTTTCCTCCAAATGACAAAATTTCTTTCTTCTTTATGTCTGAATCAAACTCCAGTGTGTATGTACACCACATTTTCTTTATCTGCTCATCCACTGATAGAAACCTGAGCTGGTTCCATAGTTTGGCTATTGTGAATTGTGCTGCTCCAAACATGGGTGTGCAGATATGGCTAGAGTATGCTGACTTGAATTCCTTAGAATGGTCATATGGTGGTTCAGTGCCTAGGCTTTTGAGGAACCTCCATAGTGATTGTACTAATTTACAATCCCACCAACACTGTAAAAGTGCTCCTATTCCCATGCCCTCCTCTCCCTCATCGATTATTACTTGTACTCTTGATGTCTGCCATTCTAATTGGAGATGAAATCTCAGTGTCGTTTTGACTTGCATTTTTCTAATTGCTAAATACGTTGAACATTTTTTCACATATTTGTTGGCCATCTGTATTTCTTCTGGAAAGTGTCTGTTTAGTTCATTTGCCCATTTATTAATTGGGTTACTTGTTTTCTGGTGCTAAGCTTTTTGAATTCTGTATATATTATGGACATTAATCCTCTGTCAGAGAATAGCTAGCAAAGATTTTCTCCCCTTCTGTAGGCTCTCTCTTCACATTCTTAGTCATTTCCTTTGCTGTGTGGAAGCTTTGTGACTGGATGCCATTCCATTTATTAATTCTTGGTATTATTTCTTGAGCTTTAGGAGTCCTAATGAAGAAGTCGCCTGAGCCTATATCCTGGGGCGCTGACCCCATGTTTTCTTCAGCAGTTGTGTAGTTTCTGGTCTAATTCCTAGAACTTTGATCCATTATGAGTTGACTTTTTGCAGGGTGAGAGATAGGGATCGAGTCTCCTTCTTCTTCATACGGATAACAAGTTTTCCCAGCACCATTTGTTTAAGTCTGTCAAGGATCAGATGACTGCAGATGTGTGGGTTTTCTGGAATCTTTCTTAACTCCCTGCTCCCAACAGTTCTAACAATTGGCCTGGGTAAGTGGGATAACACGTATCTGACATCCCTACTCCAAGGTCTTCCCGTTTTCCCCGCTGGGGGACTTTAATTCTATGACTTCAGTGATAGAACTTGGGGGGCCTCTATCAGCTTGCTGGGAAGTAAAAGGAAGAGTGGGACACCACTTGTTTCCACAGAACAGGCCCTGTTCAAGTGGGCGTCCTAGGCCTTGACCCCCAAGCACCCAGACCAGGGGCCAGTGCCCAGGGAAGAATGCAGGGAGGTGCTCAGCAGGGACGAGCCTCAGCTTCAGAGTCTCCCCGCCCCCGACCTGGCGGGCTGTGGGACCTAGAGCAGGTCAGCTAACCTCCCTCACCCTGGTCTTTCCCTGTGCCGCCCACCCCACTGGGAGATGAAAGGGTAATACCTGTGAGTGTTCTTTGAAATTTATAGTGTTCTACATGTGAAAGGGGTGGAAATGAGAAAAGTCTTATTCTCCAGATTCACTTCACTAATCTCAAAGTCTTGGCTGATGGCAAGTTCCCACCCCTTAAGTCCCATGGATCCCCAGTTTGGTGATCCTGTGAATACTGACAGCCAGGCAGAGGTGTGGCCTGGATGAGTGGCAGGCCAGCCACATCCTGAAAATGCCTTGTGCAGAAAGGAGTTCCTGAGCAGGCATCCAAGGTCCTAGTTCTAATGTGTCCCCGGATCCACTGTGCCCCTGGACAAACCTCTTGGCCTCTCTGGTGCTGTGCCATGTGCTTCTGCCTGGATAGATCCTGTTCATTCTCCCAAGGTCCTATGAGGGTAAAGGAAGACAGATAGGAGGACACTCAGAAAACCAAAGTGCCATCCTAGTTGGTTTTCTGTTTCAAATGACAAAGTACCTTAGACTAGGTGACTTATAAAGAAAAGAGGTTTATTAGCTCAGAGTTCTAGAGGTCTGAGAGCTGGTGCCAACATCAGCTTGGCTTCTGCTTAGGGCTCAAGGTGGATGGCAACACAGGGAGCAACACAGGGTGGAAGCTTTGCTAGCCTGGCCAGTGGGCATGTGCAGAAGAGGCAAAACATCAGGCGTAAAGTTGCTTCAGGACGACTCGCTCTAGAGACAACTAATCCAGTCCTGTGAGACCCAACCCAGTCTTGTGAGACCTATTCCAGTGTCTCAAGAAAGTCATGAAGCAATTCTGTCTTTGATGACCTAACTCTCTCCTAAAGGTCCCATCACCTCTCAACACTGTTACATTGAGAAGCAGTTTTCAGCTTGACTTTGGTGCAGACAGATGACCTCCCAACCACAGCACAGTCATATTCAGGCTCCACACAGTCTTCCCCCAAGAAAGAATCAATTAAGTCAGCATTGACTTAACCAATTAAGGAGGACCCTGGAGGCCAAGGCAAAAGGATTGTGGGACTTTCTGTCCACTTTCCCTCCACTTCCCCAGCCAGGCAGTGGCCCTGCTAAAGCCAGACAGAGCCTTGCACATTGATTCAGAAGGAGGTGGTCAGCCAGCAGAGCTGGACCCAGGCTGGAGCAGGTGGTGGGAAGTCCCTGACTCATTAGCAGGCAGACATGAGAGAAAGGAGAAAGAGAGAGGAGGGAAAGTAGAAGGGGAAGAAGCAAATTTGGAGGACGGAAGGGGTGACGGAGGAGGAGGGGAGCTATCCGTGCCCCCATCAGACCAGACGGTCTCTGAGAGAGAAACTTGGTCTTCCATTCAGTCTTTGTCCCCCCAGAGTAAGACTTAGGCCTCCTCTATCAGTTACAGGCTCCTCCAGTGCAGGTGCTGGGCCTCACCCATCAGACTGGGGGCTCTCTCAGGCGGGAACTTTGTCACTACCTCATACAAGGGCTCCTCAAAGACAGGGAACCCACTGGCTTCACAGCCAAGACCCTCTAAAATAGATGACTCACCAGTGGATCTTGAAACACCCCTGGGGCCCTGTGTTCACCTGCCTGATGCCCCTGTTCTCTCCCTTCCCCCACCCAGGGTTCACAGCCACCTTCAACATGGACACCAGGAAGCCCCGGGTCATCGCTGGCTCCAGGACTGCTTTCTTTGGCTACACGGTGCAGCAGCATGACATCAGTGGCAAGAAGTGGTGAGTGAGAGCTGCTGCCCACGCCCAGCCCTGTACCATTGCCCGCCCAGCGCCCTCTACCCTACTCCGAACCTCAGCGGCTGCCCAGCCTGACCTCACTCTCTAGGGTCAATGACTTGACTTCTTGTCCCACCAGGTCAGAGGCTGATCAGCTCTGCCCTGACCACGAGATCTGGAGCATTCAGTTTCTCAGGTCTCTGTCTTCTTGTCTACGAAATGGGAATGAACGGCTCCTCACATTCTAGGTCATGTGACAAACGGTGGCAGGCACCTGGGGACCAAGAACTTACCCCCTCGCATCCTGCCTCAGGGACTCACTCTCATCAGTGGGGGCAGCATCTCTGCTCCTGTCTCCTTGGAGAGCCGTTGGGGGTCTCTGGAGAGATCTCTGTGTGTTCACAACCCAGACAGGGCAACAGTGAGACGGAGAGAAGTAACCTGAGACCAAGAGACAGCAGGACCAGAAAGACCCCAGGACCCCTCAGACTAGGGGCCATCAGGGGGAGGGAAGGATCCACTTCCAAATTTCAAATCACTTTATTGCAGCATATTTTACCATATAATTCACTCAATTTGAGTCTGCAAGTCAATGATTTTTTTAGTAAATTTACCAACTTGTACCATAATGACACAAATCAGATAGAATATTTTCACGACCCTAAGAAGATCCTTCATGCACATTTACTGTTAATTGCCCTTCTCCTCCCAGGTTGGTCTGTAGTTGACAGAAGGCAAAGCTTTCCTTCCTTCCTGGGATGGAAAGGGCCAGGCCTTGGTGTTACCCTTTTTGAAGCCTGTATTAGTCCATTTTCTGCTGCAATACCAAAGTACCTGAGGTTGGGGACCTTGTAAAGAAAAGTTGCCTGCTGAGCTCATGGTTTTAGAAGCTGAATCCAAGGTCAGGTTGGTCTCCTTGGTTCGGCCTCTGGTGAGGGCCTCCCGATTGATGGCGTCCCCATGGTGGGAGCATTGCAGAAGGGATCACACAGCATGACAGGAAGCCAGGCTCACTCTTATATTGAACACTCCTTATCTCCAGAACTCACTCACTCTGAAAAGCTAGTATTAATCCCTTCCAAGGGGGATGCCCCAGTGACCTAATTACCTTGCGCTAGGCTCCCTTCCTTGGAAGTTCCACGTTGCCAACACTGCCACACTGGGACCAAGCTGCCAGCATGTGAACCTCTGGGGGGTGAACCACATCCAAACCATAGCAAAGCCCCTTCAGGGGGACCACCCAAACACTCATGATGAATGTTCTAGATATGGAACATTTCCTGCACCCCACCCCTAGGCTGTGTCCCTCTGGGTAACCACTCTTCTGACTCCTCTCACCATAGATTTCCTTTGCTATCTTGAACTTCACATAGATGATATCATATCCGTTTATATTTGGCCTCTTTTACTCAATATTGCGTCTGTGAGGTTTAACGTGTTGCCGAATATATGATATATACTTCACATTCTTCATTCTTATGTATTCCATTGTTACTGTACCATAATTTATTTATTTACTCTGCTACTAATGGGTATTTGGGTTGTTTCCATTTGGGGTTATTTCTGATGGAGTTGCTATAGCCTTCTCATTGGTGGACATGTGTCCTCATTTTTATTGTATATAGACTCAGTGTTGGATTTGCGTAGATAAAGGGTAGGTATATGATCAACTTTAGGAGGATATGGCAGGTACTTTTTTTTTTTCCAAAGTAGCTTGCCAATTTAAACTCTATCTAGGAAAACAAGAGAGTTCTAGTTGTTCTGCAGCCTCACTAACCCATGGCATTGGCAGTCATTTTAATTTTAGCTAGGCCAGTGGTGTGAAATGGTATCTCACCTGGATTCTGTTTGCATTTCTTTATTTACTGATGTTGTTGAACAACTTCTTATAGATCTATTGGCCATTTTGATATTTGCTTTTGTGAAGTGTCTGATGAGGTGTTTTGATCCTCTTTAAAGTTGTGTTATATACCTTTTTCTTTTTGATTTATAGAAGTTTATATACTCTCTGTACAAATCCTTTGTCAGAGAGAGGCATTGAAAATATCTCTTCCTGCTATGGAGCTTGCTTTTTCATTTTCTTAATGGTATCTTCAGATGAACAGAAGTTCTTAACTTCACTGAAGTTAAGTCTATCAATCTTTTTATGCTTAGTGTTTTTCATAGGTCCCATTTAAATTTTTTTTTTTTTTTGCCTCTCCTCAAATCATAGATATACTGCTCTGTTTTCTTCTAGAAGTTTGATGTGTTTGCTTTCACACTTAGGTCAATGATTCATCTCAAATGAATTTTTTGTGGAAGGTGCAAGATAATTTAAGTCAATTGTTTTTGTTCTCCCCATATTGATGTCCAATAGGTCTGGCACCATTTGCTAAAAGATCATTTTCCCCCCTGAATTCTAGTGTTGTGTTTGTTTAAAATGGATGACCATGTATATGTGGGTCTATTTTTTTTATTCCCCTCCATTCTATTTGTCTATTTATCTAAATAGTGCACCAGTGAAAGACCGCTTTGTTACTGTAGCTTTAAAATAAGTCTTAAAGCCAGGTATATGAATTCTCTGCACTTGTTTTTCTTTGACAAGATTATTTTAGCCATGCCAGGTCCAGTATACTCCATAGAATTTTAGAATCAGCATGTCATTTTTTCCCAGTAAAATTTGCTAAGATTTATAGATAAATAAAATCTTCACAGAACTGAATCTTCTGATCCACAAACCTATATCCCTTCATGTATTCATTGTTTAGAAATTTCTCTCAATAGTGCTTTGAAATTTTCAGCGTGAAAGTCTTGAATATCTTTTGCTACATTAATTCCTACACATTTTATGCTATTAAAAATGAAACATTCTTATTTTCTAGTACATAAAAATAAAACCACATTTTTATATAATGACATTTTAGCTCACAACTTTACCAAGCCATCTATTATTTCTGTTAGCTTGCTTGTGGGTTTTTTGGATTCTCTGTGTACACAATCATATCCTATGAAATAATTACAGTTTCATTTTTTCCTTTTCTATATACCTTCACTTCCTGCCTAATTGCAATGTCCAGAACCTTCAGAACAAGGTTGAATAGAAGTGGTGACCCTGAACGTTCTTCTCCAGTATTTCATGATTAAATGAAATCTGAACTACAAAGTAGTCACTTATTTATTGTAGAAACCTTCAGATTGAAGATGTTTTCTTCTACTCCTGGTTTTCTGAGGTTGGATTTTCAAACATTGTGAACAGTGTTGACGTGTATCAGATGCTTTTTCTATAACAATTGATATTATCTGGTTCTTTATTCTGTTAATATGGTTCATCACATTGGTTGGTTGAGTGGGGGATTTTTTGGTTTGGGGGTAAATGTGTGCACGTGTGTGTTTTGCTTTGTTTTCAGTGTTAAATCAAATTTGCATTCCTGGGGTAAGCTTTGCTTGTTCACCATGTATTTTTCTTATTATTCTTGGGGATTTGTTTCTATGAGACATTTGTTTCTATTTTGTTTCATGAGGTATATTGGCCTGTAAATCTTCTTTTCTGTAATGTGTTTATCATGTTTCGGCATTGCAATTATTCAGACTTCATAAAATGTGTTGAAAAGTGTTCTCACTTTCACTATTCCCTGGTAGAACATAAGATTTGTATTATTGCTTCTTTAAAGATTTGGAAAAGTTCACCAGTACAGCATCTGGAGTTTTCTTTTGTGAGGAGATTCTTAATTACAAATTCAACTTCTTAAAGACAATGGACAACTTGGATTTCCTATTACGTCTTATGTTAATTTGGGTAGCTTGTATTTTTTGTATTTTTTTTAATTTGTTCTTTTTAGGTATACATGGCAGTGAAGTGTATTTTGACATATTTATACAAACATGGAGTACCTCTTATTCTAATTAGGATCTCAGTCTCGTGGTTGTACATGATGTAGAGATTCACTGTGGTGTATTTACATATGTACGTAGGAAAGTTATGTCAGAATCATCGCACTCTTTTTTATTCCTGTGTCCTCTCTCTTCCCTTCATTCTTTTTAGATTTTTTTTAGATTCCCTTTGTCTAATTTACTGAACTTCTATTCTTCCCCACCCCGACATTGTTGTGCATTAGCATCCACATATCAGAGAGAATGTTCTACCTTTGTCTTTTGGGGATTGCCTTAGTTCTTTTAGCATAAGTCTCCAGATCCATCCATCTACTGGCAAATATCACAAAGTCATTCTTCTTTATGGCTGAGGAGTATTCCATTGTGTTTATCTACCACATTTTCTTTATCCACTCATCTGTGGAAGGGCACCTAGGTTGGTTGCACAGCTTAGCTCTTGTGAATTGAGCTGCTGTGAACATTGACATAAACATTACTATAAACTACATTGGCTGTGTCACGGTAGTATGCTTTGGCTTTATACTGAGGAGTGGGATAACTGGGTCAAATGGTGGTTCCATTCCAAGCTTTTCAAGTAATTTGTCCATTTCACTCAAATTTTATTGTCAAAATATTATTCATGGGCTGGGGTTGTGGCTCAGTGGTAGAGCGCTCGCCTAGCACGGGCGAGGCCCTGGGTTAGATCCTCAGCACCACATAAAAATAAATAAATAAAATAAAGGTATTTTTCCAACTACAACTTAAAAATAAATATTTTTTTTAAAAAATATATTATTCATTAACTCCTATTATCTTTCAATATCTAAGATCTATAGCAACATCTACTCTACCCACATAATTTATTCTTATTGGTAATTTGTGTTGTCTCTCTCATTCTTGATCAGTCTTGCTATGGGTATATTAATTTTATTAAAGTTTTCTAAGGATCAGTTTGGGTTTTATTGATTTTTATCTATTAGATCTTTATTGTCTCACTGGTTTTTACTCTTTTTAACATTATTTCTTTCCATTCTCTAAATTTGTTTTAATTTGACTTTTTCTTCCTTCTTATTTAAATTGTTGATTTTATAACCCTTTTTTTCTAACATATGAATATAAGGCTATAAATCTCCTCTAAACATTGCTTTAGTTGC